GCAAAGAATTTTTTATCGATAATAATTTTTAAAAAACTATCACAATTTAAAATTTTCTTATGCCTATAAATAGTTCAAAAAGAGAAGCAATATTTGAAAATGTTATGGTGCATAGACATTGCTAATATAAAAATGTTGTGAAAAGGGATCTACCTCCGGTTATACTGTACAATAAAATCTTTTTTTTTAAACTGATTTTACTAAAAAATCTCAGTTTTTCTTTAATATCAAATTCTTCGTGATGCGTTTGAAAACTATTAGAAATTTCTTTATTTTTTACTTCCCTTCCCGAAAAGTACCAACTACATTCACGTTTCTACCAAAAAAGTAACTTGCAAAAAAAATCAAAGCATTTTTACAGTCCCAAAAGGTGATGACAGACACAAATAAATAGAAAAACACATCATTGTAAAATCAATACATTCTATAAATAAAGTGCTCAGAATCTAAGGGTGCAAATATTTATTTATTTTATTTATCATTCAATACGACAAAGGACATGTTTCTGCGGGGGGTCACATCAGTTCATAATTTGTAATAAAATGCATGATGATAAACAATTTAAATAGAAACCATTGAAAGTTATTTGAAATAAGTGCAATCAAAACTCTAGACTCTAGAGTATATTTTGTAGGTAAACATATTTAGAAATATCAAACATGTTTTTAATCTATGTATACAAAATTGAATATAAGTCTGCGTGGTCCTGATGGACTCAGAAACTACTGAAGCAATTAGCACTACATTTTGCACACACATTCCAAGAGAATGATTCCTCATTCCTTGATCCTTTTTTAATCCCTAAAAGTTTCGATAGGCGGCTAACCCATAAATATTGTCACATATGTATATCAAATATTTGTTTGTTATTGAAATGTACAACAAAAAAACTACGTCCACGTATTTGTAGCTTGTTGATTTAAATACTACACCACCAATTTTGACGAATGTTTCAGAGATTGTTCTTAGGGATATCAGTAGGATAAGTTTAGACAGTAATTACCTAGTTTGAATCAAGTTCGAATACATACCAAGTGCTATATTATCCAAACCACCGCAAGTAGTACATGGTCGGATTATCCATCTTGGTAGAATTAGTTCACAAGGCAAAGTTACCTATACCGATTTTACCGTTAACACTAAAACAGATTGCTGATAGAGCTGATATAGTGCCGTATTTTATGTTTTTATGTTTGTTAGTTTTTTTCTGGCCGAAATCCGATCATACATTTCTTAACATCTACATAAAATTGGTAAAATAATACAATATTAAGTTTATATTCCTAACTGGAATAATTAATACAAGTAACGGCGACGGAGCATTCATTATTCATTTATATTTTGCAGTTCTTACGACTTACAGTATCCATAATTTTATTTTTAAGAATCTTGAAAGGTCATGGACATAGGCCAGTTTTACCTAAAAACATTATATTTTATATTTTAAGCCCAGTATACAAATTGCGCTCTTTACATTTTACGGTCAGTAAGCCAATTACTCTTAAATTTAATTTTACTTTCAGGTATGAAAACTATATTTTTGTCCAATTTCATTTCATTAACATTGAATTATCATACATTGCTCATAAACTGTGTATATTACAGTAGTTTAAAATTAAAAATATTTACAATATTGATCATTAATTTCTATGTGATTGGTCAAATATTTTTTGTTACAAAAAAAAAAAATTATGCCAATAATTCTTGTGTTTAAAATGTTCATATAGCTGATGGACAGCCAATAAATTAGTACCGTTACTTTTATGAAATGTAATTTGACCAATATGCACAAGTATGAATTTGATACCTATATAGTAGGTATATATAGACAAAATAGAGTTCTCATTGATGCAGGCTATTTATCAACTTAATCGGTTTATTTCACTGCAAAATTACAGCTCATCATCGTAATGATGATATCTACTTATGGATAGTCTTATAATTGTATAATAGTCATTAATTTGATTATATTTATAGTAAGTACCTAAGTGTTCATTATTATATTATGTTTAATGTTTATATTTTGTTTAACTAAAGTTGTTCTGGATATAAAAAAAACTATTTTAAATTTTTACATATTATAAATTTTATAATGAACAATCATCATTATTTATCTTAATTATCTACCCTGAAAATAACTGAGCGTAATTTCTTGGTACCTAAATACATAAAAAGGTCATTTTACGCTCAACTGGCAAACTTCACCTTAAAAAAGAGTTACTATGTTTAATTATGGTTGTGACTAGTAGAAAGAAGAGAGCATAAGTAAACCTATAATCTATATTATAGTAGGAACACTAAACACTTGTAGTATTAATATTTATAATTAATAGTGGGCATCATACTCAAATCCAATCCAAAATAATTTTAATAATTATAATTTAATAGAATTTATACTATATTAATCCACAACATTAATCTTTCACAGTTTATATTAGAATATTCTTTAAATTATGATAATTTCAAAATTATGATTGTTGATTAGGGTACCATTATTTGAAAATCAAAAATCGATACAAACTATGTTTTTTTTTTATAAATATATTTGAACTATGGTTATATTATTTAAAATAATATTTTATTTTGAAGATAAATAATATAAAAACATTTGATATATTTTTTAAGATATATATATAAGCTAAATTGGAGGGATCCATTCTCTTATCTCTGACAGCTCCTTAAAAGCGTCACCTTTAACCGAAATTTTTAAAATTTGATTTATTAAATTTAATTATTGGTTCTTGATGAACTAAAATTATTGTAACTAAGTGATAAACATAATTTTTTTTTTCATTTTATTTGATAAAGTGTGCTTAATACTTGATTATAGCTGATATGTAGTAGTTAATACATTGTGACACCGTTTTACATATCTAACCAGCACGTGTTGTCTCTGTTGAACACACGTGTGACCATAGTATGTACCAGATTTTTGCTTCTGTTTATCTATACTTATAGTAAATATTAGACAAAATTTTCTTACTAGTTATTTTCGAATTCATAGAAAATATAAACTGTGATCGACCAATTGTATTTTGTTTCATATTTTTGCTTTAAAACGATTCATATTATGAATACAAAAACTAATTATCCAAGTACTATAAACTCATTTTAAAATGAAAATATGAAGAAAAATACTGTTAGCTCGACTATATAGTTTATATTCTTTGAATCTTTTATTTCTCTATGATACTCGTGTGTAAGATGCATACGGGTACGACGCCCTATTAAATCAGTCTTAAACAACTAACGATTTTGTTGAAAAATTATCTCTTGTATAACTCATATTATTCATATTTTATTCATCGTGTTCAAAGGTTTGTTAAAAAAAAAATAATAGGTATTAAGTAGCACTGTAGCAGTAAAATATAGAATTACAATACACATCTACTACACTACTTAAACGTTCAAATAGTATAATATAAAATAATAAATGTTGTGTTAGAGCATGATTATTAATTGAAATTTAGATGTGTAATGTTATTTTATTTTAAATTTAAATCTCCAATTCTTATTGTAAGTTTACAAAATTAAATAATTTATAAACACAATGCAATATGGGTAGTAGGTACGTATTACATTGCCATAAATAAGTACTACATGAAACTCTCAACATTTCTAAGAAGTCAGAGTCCCTGGATAGACATGGATATAACGCGACCATCTTATGAACCTATAGATGTTATGAAGTGTGTTTTTTGTGTTTATCAATGAACAATGAACATTTTAAAAAAATGTTTATAAAATCAATATAGACGTACAACAGTCGTCGCCAAATGACTTGGCATAGCAGTCATTGCACAACAATGGTTCTCAAATTTTTTTATTTAATATACATCTATATATTTGAATAGTCCCCGTTGCAAACTGAATAATTTCATATTTTAACTAATGCACGCCATGTTTTCGATTTGCATCTATATAGATGATATTACGAAATTAAGAATGGTTGTCAAATATTTTTTGTTGAGTTTACCTCCCGTCTGATTTTGTTTTTTGTTCAGACTAAATTCAAGAGTTTTTAATATTAATACCAATATATGTGTTTCGGTTTATCTGTGAGCTGCAATACGTAATATTGTCATTATAATATATACTATACGCATTGTCGCGTAATGCGAGTCAACGAAATAAATCAAACTTCATTCGCTTTGCGTTCGCAACAGCATACAATTTATATTCGTCTATCGATTTCGCCAGAATAATAATATTTGCTAGTTGCTACCCGACCGAGTACATTTCAAACTGTTGTACCTTTTCCACAAACACGGCCGATTGAATCCAGTTTGAGACCGATTGCCGCCAAAAAAAAAAAAAGCGGCTCAATCGATGTGCCAAATGCCCAAATTATAACTGCTGACGACGCTGCAGTCCTCCGATTGAATTGCACGCATACCTATACTATTGTAACGCATGTGAAACATAATATTAGTTACAATAATTACAAATTATAACAATCTCATATTGAACATAATCAAACAGCGTCTTCGAACCATTGCGATCAGAAATAAACGAAATGAGCACATTTCACATCCCACTATCCCGGCTACCCGCAAGTATTTTATACAATAGGTACCTAATTAGCAACTGATATAGGCGTGATAAATTTATATGGAGGGGGTTATAGTCTTTTTTTTTACTTGTGGTTAGGTACAATATTAAGTTAATGTTTTATCTTAATTGTTAATAATATAGGTACGTGTGTCCACTGAGTTGATACAATGAGTGTTGTATATAATTAATATTAATATAGGTACCTGTTGTATTAGATGATAATTTAATAAAACATAATATTAAAACTTGTTCGAAATGTGCACATAGGGATGTGGGAATTTGATGGGATTTTAGTTTATATACGAAACTACATCAATGCAATAAAAATGAATAATAATATTATAGCACCTAAAGCAAGTTATTGATAAAGTTCGTGCATCGACTTTTTAAACATATTTTATGCTTTTGTTGTTTTTCTTAAACATATTGGTTTCATTGGTTTTTAGGTGGCGAGGGAGTATATACAAGTTAGTGTGGCCCGATTTGGCTGCATTCCTTGTTTGTTATTATACTCTGAATTTGACGTATCGCTTCGTATTGAATCCACAGCAAAAACGGTAAGTTTTCCTCGTATGTAATATTTTAAACCCTTTGCGGTTAATTCAATACCACCTATATATGTATACATTTAAATTATACGCCTAAAACGAATAAAAAGAGATAAAAAACAAAATTGTAGACATATTTCTGTTTACAGACAAAACAGCTGATTTTTGTATCTATATACAATTTATATAGATAGATCAGAATATAAGGTATACTTATATACTTTCTTTATTTACTATTTAACAAGTTTAACAACTATTTAATACATTAGAAATGTTTTTATTGTTTTCGTTAATGATATATACCTACCTAATAATTTGATAATAATTAATTATTTTACCTACAACTATTTAATAAAATACTAGATCGTGATGAATTAGTCACTGCGGGATAATTGATCGTCAAATAAAAACTATTTTAAAATCTTTTCAACAATTATATTATACTATATTACATACACAAATTAGCTATCACACATAACAAACAAATATCCGTTCAGTAGTTTTCTTTTTATACAATGATTTAAACTATAAAATAATATAACGATAGTGTTTTAAAAAGTCTACTTTATTTAACTTTCCACAGCCCATAGACAACGCACATTTTTATAGTTTATTATGTTCGCTATATTGTATTCCACGGGATTAAAGTGATTTGTTCTGTCTGTAACCATGTGTAAGACTCTTCATTTTTAACGAATCTATGAAATAATTATGTCTATCTATAGTGATGGGAAGTTTTGAAAGTAGACGCAAAGCCATTATGCCATAATTCAACAGTATTGTTGGTGGTTATTAGACTATAGAGTAGATTATAGATGACGATTGTACCTATACCGTATCAAGGTTATTGCCATGCTTTCAATAGTTTAAATAATAATGACTACATTGTAGTATAATTTATTTCAGTTTTTTTATTTCTAGCTATACAGATACGGCTTTTTAAAAGAACTATATATGAAAGTCCACTTTTTGAAACTATTCAAGATGACCAAAAAACATTTAATAGTTAAGGTTTTTTTTTGAAAAATTATACTTCCTTACATTTTGAATTCTATGAAAGATACTGGACACTGTTGATTTATCTATTTTATAAAAAGGATTGAATTTGACCCGACATGAAATTTGTTGGTGAAAATAAGAAAAGTCCAGAGTAAGGTACATAGTTTTTGCACCAAATTAAAAAAACAGACCAGTGAATTTATCATAAAAACTATACTTCCTATCTCTATACGACAGACTAATCTAACTGTTACACACACTTTTAGAGAATTTTTTTTATTATTTTCATTTTTTAAACAAGCCCTTCATTTAGCCTCATCAGCTAGTGTGTTTGCGAGTTTGCATGATGTAACTTTTTCAGACCTCGTAATTTGAATTGATCAAAAATTAAAAATTTATATAAACCAGGTATATAATTTTATTACATAGGAAGATACAACAAATAATTTGTTTTAAAGTTTTATAAATATTTTCATATTCTTTATGAAATATACCTAGTAGAGTAAATAACTAAGAAACTAAAAACTTAGGTTTGGCGATCGATTATTAGAGCGACCAATTTATTATACCCGCGATCAATTCACTGCGATTGGTACCAAAATTATTCCGTTGGATATTCCTAGATATTTTAAGTTTGTATATTTATACTTTCGTAAATAATGTAAAGGGTTATGTTTGTCGGTATAATATACTAAACAATATATAAGTTATATTTAACATTTCAGAAGCCTTAGGACTTTGACTTATTTATATATTCACTTAAATAGTTGTACAATGTATATTTAAACTAACATTTAAACAATACATAAATCAGAACAAAAATTCGATAAAATAAAGAAATTCCGTTTCAAATTCTTATATTAGGTATACTACATTTTTTTTAAAACTATAAAATAATACAAATACCTATGTCATGTTACATAAGCAATCATTTAAAATTTAATGAATCTAGTGAGATAATTGTCCATAAACATGATTTAGTGGCCCATTATTGGTACATTAAATTTAAGTGAACCATTAAATTAATCAATTTGTGTGCAACTTGGCAATAGCATAATTTTTATAGTTTTTTTTCGTATGCGCGTTTTGCATTAAAAATTTAACATCGTGTGAATTATATTTTATTCAAGAATATTTGAAAGCATAGCCGATTATTGCGAAACATACAGCGACTTGATACCATTGTCATTTGTGCTGGGATTTTATATATCAATAATAATGCAACGGTGGTGGGACCAATACTGTTCGATTCCATGGCCTGATCCTATAGCAGTTTACGTGAGTTCGCATATTCACGGACAGGTATGAACAATTCACAACAACTCTTTGTTTAAATCACGTTACAACTAACGAAATGCCGGTTTGCTGGATTTAAACTAATATATTCGTTGTAAAACCGTATAGGACGAAAGAGGAAGATTGATGAGACGAACGATCATGCGGTATGTCTGTTTGGGTCTGACTATGGTATTCTCTAATATCAGCCCTAGAGTAAAAAAGCGTTTTCCCACACTGGATCATTTTGTTGAAGCGGGTAAGTATTATAAGACTTATTACCATATAGTAGGTACCTATAATACCATTGCCCGAACAGATATGTAATAATAAATGATGTAGATGCCTACCTTCTTATATACTTTTTATAATAATAAAAATTCATAGTGCGATATTGTTTGCTGTGTAGGTTTATTGTTGGAAAACGAAAAAACGATCGTGTTGGATTTAAATGACAAATTTCCCAGACACTCTAAACACTGGTTGCCAGTCGTGTGGGCGGCGAGCATAGTGACCCGAGCGAGGAAAGAAGGACGGATACGCGACGATTTCGCTGTAAAAACAATTATTGACGAATTGAACAAATTTCGGGGTCAGTGTGGTTTGTTACTCAATTACGATTCAATAAGCGTGCCACTCGTTTATACTCAGGTAAATTATATATTATAATTAATATTATTCGTTGTATTATAGATTTAAACTGTTCAAATAACGCATACAAATCTGCGAAATGTTCGCTTTTGCTTCTCGTTTATTAACGTATATGATTTGAGTTTGGTAACGCATACCTATTATGACTATTGTACTTTTAAGACTATTTAACACCTAACCAAAAAAGTGCCAAATAAATAATTCATCATTAGATACTATTTATTTTTTTGTATATGCTTATTATTTCTTAGGTTGTAACATTGGCAGTGTATTCATTTTTCATTACAACTGTAATGGGACGACAATGGCTGGATAAACCAGTAATGCCATTGGCAAATCTTAAACACCAAACGGAATCGAATCCGGGAAGTTATAACTATATCGATCTGTATTTTCCGGTATTTACTACTTTACAGTTTTTCTTTTACATGGGATGGCTGAAAGTGGCCGAATCGTTGATAAATCCTTTTGGAGAGGACGATGATGATTTTGAAGTCAATTGGATCATTGATCGGAATGTCCAAGTATACCTATAACACGATTAAAAATATGTTACCTCATCTGAATTTTCGACGAAGCATATAGATTATTAAATTACTTATCGTCTGTCGTTACAGGTTTCGTATCTAATAGTAGACGAAATGCATCACGAACATCCAGAGTTGATCAGAGATCAATACTGGGATCAAGTGTTTCCGACAGAATTGCCATATACTGTAGCTGCCGGAGAACGGGAACGACATCCCGAGCCATCGACAGCTAACATAGCTGTCTCAGATGCAGACGCCGAATACTCACTGCCACCCAAAGGTTGCGACGACGGACAAGCCCTAGTAAATATAATATATTAATTTGTATCACACATTCACACCACAAACCTTTTAGGCTTTTTTTTTAATAATTAGAAAAAATGGGAACTATAAACAAGCATTCTCATATTTAAATGTTATCCACGTCTCTAAACAAAATATAATTGGATTTTTTTGGTAGGATGTAGGTAAATTTACTAAAAAATAATAATACATTTTTATCGGAGAAGCCAACTATAAAAGGTAACTCAATGTGTGGTATCTGGGATTAAAAATGTATTATGTCACAGGGAACTAAATATTTACACTCGAGGTAGATAATTAAAATTGAAGTATGCTTAACCAATTATTTTATCCCATGTAGTATTTTAAGTACCCCAGCCCTGATTATTTGCTACTTATTATAATGAACGTCGTCCGCAAGGTTAGGTTCAATCAGAACCTAGACCTAAACCTAACTTTCAATTATAGGTATAAGTCTTATTTTATACCAAGGATAAAGTAAGGGGTTTATCTTAATAATTATTGTTACCGACTGCTGCCTGCCAATACAATACTAGGAGATACTACACAACACACACGTATGGAACTTTAAAAACGGATGCATAGTGTGGTCGAGCGAGACCCGCCAAAAGTCAAATCGGTGCATATATAGTGTGGGCAGGCTTAATTTCGTTTATTTGCAAAGGCAAATCCCGTATTTTTCTATACGTATTACCAAATTGCTAAATTAGTTATTTTTTCAAATACCTAGTTACGGCTGAGTTACTTTCATACAAAAACTAACGAAGTTAGAAGGTGATTAACGTGTAACAAGAAATAGGTGTATTGCATAATTAATAAAAAATAATACAAGAAAATGTTTTTATCGTAAAATTAAAAATACTCAATATTCATTATTAATAAATTATCATGGTTATAAATACTAATAGTCGGCAGTCAGCTGCTGTTGACACGGGCAATTGGATTTTTGGAATGAAAAACAAAAAGCGGGTAGGTGGAAGTTGTTCTACTGTACATTAGGTATTTAGAAGGTCGCTGAAATGGATGGTATTAAATTTAAATTCAATGATATATCATTGAGACGGTATGATGTTAGTCTAGGCTATTTTATATTGTTATTATTTATTATTAATACGGTAGCCGGTAAGTTTAATTAATATTATTCTCAAATTATCAGTGACGCTGGAGAATTATTAAATATACTTATGTAAAATTGGGCCGTTTTGGAACCGAATTACAACAAAACATTGTTCTCTGTATTAATATGTAATTTCGTCCAAATTTGAACTTAAAATATCTGTTTTTATATATTTTTTAGTTATTTTAGTTACGGAAACACTGCTTAAGTGGAAATGTTTTAAATTTTCAATCCTAAGCTTTACAAATTGAAAATGTTATGAATTTTCAACTACAAAATCATTTTCTATTTTCAATTTGATAAATATTGTCAACATTTGAACTTGAAATAATGTTTATAAAAAAAACCGTACCTATGTATTTTTAATATTTTTCAACTGCTATTATAACAAGTTATCGAGAGTATTAAATTTGCATAGTTTTTGACTCAACCAATAAAATTCTATTGACATTTATAGGAAAATAGTTCAGTTTATAGAGTGTAAAATAGATAATAAATAAATAATATGAGATCGTACCCATGCATAATACCTACCTATTGTAGTATTGTATTATGAACTATAATCAACGATCACGCATTTTTTTTGCAGGATGACGACGACGCTAACAGCGGCATACACTTCGTTGCGACAGCGGGCAGCTACAAGAGATCAAACAGTCTGTTGCGCGGTCGTCCCATATCGTCGCACAGCTCCAACGATCACCACCACCATCTCAACAACCAGAGCGTGGCTAGCTCGCTAAACCGCGTCGGTTCGGTCACGTCCATATTGAAAAATCTGTTCAAACGCACCGGTGGTACATCCGCCCAGTTAGCTGGCGACGGTGAGTGGTGTTTTATTTCTTCATAGACATACTCTGTTCGATACTTCATTTCTGGGAGGCAAAGGGGCTGGCTGCACGGACACAATAAGGACTTGGAGAACGGACGGCTAGGGATCTTGAACCAAGCCAATAGCCATTATTTTAGGGTTCCGAAAGCCCAAACTTTTAACTTGTGTGAGAAGGAGACAGGTTGGACTTTTGGCAAGGAGAGTGGATCGGGTGAGAACATCCCGGGTAATGGCAAGTTACAATACAAAATAATTTGCAAATTTGTAACTTTAAATGCTTATGAAAAAAACAACACACCTTTAGGTGTCTTTAATAATACTGCTATTACAATACATTAAGAAGAACATCATGGCATACATCTTCAAGCTTTTCAATCCAATCAGAATATTTTGAAAATTGTATCATATTATAGGAAAAATCATAAAATAAACATTTGGTGAAAATTTCAAGTACCTATCTACGGTTATTCGTATTTGAATTACAACGAAAAAAGGAAAATCATTCGATAAGAATTCGTTAATTTAAGCCTGAAAATCCAATGTCAAAAAAACTTCCAACGTTCATAATTGACGGTAGGAACATATGCCTACTTATACTAACCTATGCTACTATAGGATGTATTTCAGTTATTTGTAGTAAAACTATAAAATCTGAGCTCTGCTTATGAGGAATCTTGTACGAGTATTACATTTTTAAATCTTAGATATAAAAAGCATAGGCGCAAATTGACTAATTTTTTGGAGGTACTGAAGCTCCCCTCCCCATAGGCTATAAAATAAGTACTAATTACTAGATTTTTAACTGGGTGACTTGACGGAAATTCGGGGTGACTAAGTCCCCCCAAGCCCCCCTCCCACTATTTACGACAATGATAAAAAGAAAACATTTTATGAATTTCAACAAACAAAAATAGTTTGCTTATTGTCATGATTTTGTCGATTTCTTACATTAAATATTTATAAAATAATAAAGTGACTATGTTGACAATATTTTCGATATATTAAAATCAGGATATCAACAAGTCATGGGTATTACATATTCAAACGTACAGTTTACAGTTTTTATCCACAAACATTTTTTTTGAAAATTATATATTGAATGGAAAATGGTAATACAAACACATTTGGTGAAAATTTAAAATATATGCAATAATTTTTTTTTTGTTATCAAAAAAAAAGATTTTGTCAAAAATTCCTGTTTTACCTTAATTTTCATTAGTTTTTCGGTTCACCTATCCCCCCTCCCCCTCCCCAAAGTACAAACTAGATTCTCTTTCATACCAGAAAAGATGCTGAAGTAGAAAATTGAATAAATTTTACTGACAAAAATATGATGGCAGACACAAAAAAATAATTTAAAAAACAAAGTATTGTAAAATCAGAAGTAAAATTTAGGTACACCAGTCCTACAATACGATAAAATTGAAAAGTTTAGTTTCAAGACAGCATGGGTAAAATTGGGAGAGGCTTGAGGGCCTCGTATTTCCATATTAATGGATATGTATTACACTATCACTCTAACATTTTCATAATTTTAATAACTAATATTATATTATATAATCAATTTTATAATGGTGTTTACTTGTTTTGCACAGGACTGTTATCAAGGGTATCGAGCAGCAATAGATTGCCAGGCAGTAGCTGGCAGAGCCAAGAAAGTTTACAGAGTAGCAGTAGTAAATTACTACAACAACAGTTTGGTAGTGTTCGAATCGCCGATCAGGTATTATAAAAAAATCAATGACAATAATACACAATAGGTCAAAATATTTTATTGCTTTGGTTAGGTGATTGAGGAATTAGATGAACAAATGACAATTACAGCAGGGGGGCGCCTAGAGAGGCGCAGTGAAAAACCAAACGTGCGCACAGTATTCCCACCTCAACCGCCATTGCCGAACGACTCTGCATCATCAAATTTATCAAACATCACATACACGGAAGTATTATCAACTAACGACGATTTTGGCTATCAGGATGGAAAACAGGAAGATACATTGATGCGCAGTGATAGTGATAGTAGCAACCACCATACACCTAGTACATCTAGTTTATTGTTTGTTGTCGAACCAGTGGTGAGCCAACCCCATACTATAAACAATGAAGTGCCTAACAGTAGGACTTCTTCAGTTACTCATGATTATGAAACATCTAGACGGACACCTGACCATCATGACTAGTATTTTATTGATTATTTTATTTTTATTTAGAAAATATACACACATATTATAACAATAAACAAGTCATTTCAAAATATTTAAGTGAAGTATATTTAAGAAATGTGATTAAAATGTACAATATAATATTACAAGCTATTAAATATTATTTTTTTACTTCTCTTGAACTAGATTGCTTTAAATATTATATTTTTTAATTTGCTTAATGTTGAATGTTTTTTCAGTTCTCACGGTGTAAAAACTGAAAAAATGTGATTTTTCTAAAAGTTTTAATTTTACTTGTATCAAATACAAAAATTAATTCAGGTACCATAAACTTATAAAATACAAAAAGTTAAATTATAACAAAAATCTTTTGGAATTTATTTTAAAATCTATACTTTAACAGTAAAATGTTTGACTCTGATTGTACATACATATTTTTATTTTTCTGACTTACAACAGTAGGTAAAAAAAAATCACATTATGAAAGCTATGATTAAGACTCAAACATAAAGATGTTACAAATTTGTCTTACAAATAATTATAAGTTGGAACAAAATTAAATATGAACTTACAAATTTAACATCTAAATATCTAATATTAGCTTACAGACACTACACAATAAATTAATAATTGAATTGGAAATTATGAATTACTTTTTATGTATTATTTTTATTGCAGGCATCCAAAAATGTATTTAAGTAACTACAATTACACAGATAAAGGTACTACTGATAAAGATACCAATTTCAAAAATATAAACGGTATTTTAAATCGCTATCGTGAATATAATAGTATCTATTTAGGATATAATGAACAAAAATAAACATGAGTCTATACTATACAGTATAATAACTTAATAACCTAACCTAAGCTTTATTAAAACTATGACAAAGATTCAAGCATATTCATGCATCTGAACTTGTCTTAAAAACTAATATGATCATTGCTACTTTTCATTATGAATACCATTGAATTCATTTGATGCTTTTATATTAAATATGTACACCTACTAAGATTTCTTAAAACTATGACAAATTTCAGGCACATTTGAGCCTCTGAACTTGTCTTAAAACTAATAGCAGTGAGTCTCACGTGTCTATACTATGCAGTATACTAAACTAACCTACACATTAAGAAAATAATAAATACAAATTAAGGACTATGAATAATAATTAATATTTTTTGATTTTTTTTTTTTTCCATATAACAAATTTAATCTTAGAATTCACTCCTGTAAGCAAATGTAGTTTGATTTTACCTCTTACAATTATTGATTAAGCTAAGATTCATTAAAATTATGACAAAGATTCAGGCAAAATTTCAGCCTCTGAACTTGTCTTAAAAACTAATATGACAATTACTATTTTACATGCCATGAATACCAATGAATTCATTTAATACTTTAATATTAATATGAAGTATGTACACCTACAAAGATTAATTAAAACTATGACAAAGATTTGAGCATATTTATGCATCTGAACTTGTCTTAAAACTAATAGCAGTGAGTCTCACGTGTCTATACTATGCAGTATACTAAATTAACCTACACGTAAAGAAAATAATAAATAAAAATTAAGGACTAGAAATAATAATTAATGTTTTTGGATTTTTTTTTCATACAACAAATTTAATTTTAGTTTTCACTCCTGTAAACAAATGTAATTTGATGTTAACTCTTACAATTATTAATTAAGCTAAGATTTATTAAAACTATAAAAACGATTCGAGCATAATTAAGCATCTGAACTTGTCTTAAAACTAACTGTAGTACCCATTTATACACATATATACTTTTCAGTATACCTACTTAAATTACATATTTAGAAAATAATCAACGATTAAGTATTAATGAATATCAATAATTTATTAGTTTTTTTTTATTTATTTTTTTTTTTTTTTGGGGGGTGGGGGGTTATCTACACATTGATTTTTATACATCTACAAATTTAATTTTAGTATTTTACTACTTTAATCAAATGTAGTTTTTTGTAACTTTTGAAACTGTTGATTAAGCTAAGATTTATTAAAACTATGACAAAGATTCAGGCAAATGTAAGCCTATAAACTTGTCCTAAAACTATATGATAAATGTTCCGCAAAATACTTCACAGTATTATAACCTAACTTACTTATTTAGAAAATATTAAACAACAATTACAAACTACGCGATTTTAATTAAAATATTTTTTTTTTATATGTATATACTAAAAATTTAATTTTAGCACATTGTAAGCAAACATATATACCTATTTACAACTATTGATGAAGCCCAAGATTAATTAAAACTATGACAAAGGTTCATGCATAAAGCATCTGAACTTGTCTTAAAAACTAATATGACAAATAGTACTTTTCATCATGAATACCAATGAATTCATTTGATGCTTCAATATTAAGTATGTACATCTACTAAGATTTATTAAAACTATGACAAAGATTTAGGCAAATGTAAGCCTATAAACTTGTCCTAAAACTATATGATAAATGTTCCGCAAAATACTTCACAGTATTCTAACCTAACTTACTTATTTAGAAAATATTAAACAACAATTACAAACTAAGCGATTTTAATTAATATATATATTTTTTTAAATATACTAAAAATTTAATTTTAGCACATTGTAAGCAAACGTATATACCTCTTTACAATTATTGATTAAGCTAAGATTAATTAAAACTATGACAAAAATTCAGGCACATTTAAGCCTCTGAACTTGTCTTAAAACTAATCCATTATAGATCCACAATATACTATTCAGTATACTAACCTAAAATAAAAATCTAGAAAATAATATACAATTAAGGACTACTTGATAACTAATAATTTATATTTTTTTTTGAAATGTCAGGGGTAAATATAAATTTTATTTTAGTATTTTACTGTCTGCATAATATCAAGTTTAAATTTACCACACCGAATGATTAAGCTAAGATGAATGAAAACTATGACTATGATTCATGCATAATAATATGTCTCTGAACTTTTCTCATAAAAGCAATTTAAATATTTGTACTCATAATTATTTGTATTAAATGAATCATTGTTAACTTAAACAAAAATAAATCAATAATTACTTTTAAAACTGAAAAATTTAAATTAATAATTCTGGTCACTATTATATATATTATATTCTATTATTTCTTTTACAATTAAGTTGTCATACTTATCAATTTAACAAAAACTATTAGACTATGAAAAACAATGTATGCATAGTTAGATGTCTGTAAGTCGCTTGGAAGATGATTATGATTGAAAATTGAATATTAGTCTGTAATAATAAGTTAGGTACATGGCTAAAATACATTTAAAAATCACAAATATCAAACAATGAAGTACTTTTGTGTAAGTAAAAACTAACTCGTTTATGAATTGTCTAAACAAAGTTAGAATTTTTTCAATATTATTGCAAATAAGCTAGTTTGATTTAAATCCGAAAATCAGTTAGTGTGGTAAGTAGTTCAATTAATATGAATTGTTTAATGTTGAAAAACATTGATCAAACTTTTTTATTGTGTTATAATTATACTTTATATGTTCTTAATAATTAATAAAAAAAAAAGGTTTAATTGCTATTTTTATGATAAGTAATACCACTTAAATGTAATTGATAATAAATATTAACCAAAAAACCAAGGATAAATTTTAAATTTTGAAATTGGAGCTTATAAATATAAAATTGATTAAGTACTAACTTAGAAGTAAGTTGTATACATTCTAAGCTTTACTTTGTGAATCTCCACTGTTAGTTGGGGGATTATCATTATGGATTGCAGCTAACATTGACTCTATGTCTAAGTCACCCGTTTTGTTTTCCACATTTGCGTCTTCATTGACTTCTTTTTCAACACTATCTGGAGTTTCTTGATCTGCTTCTTCCTGTTCAGGCACGGCTGTATCTTCTTCATCCTCTTCAACTTCAGCTGCTTCTTCTTGTGCCGGCTCAGATTTTTTTTTAGATTTGGCATCTTTTGGAGATGTATCCTCCTGAGAGTTTTCAGTTTCTTCACCTCCGCCTGCATTTTCCGGTTCTTCAACCTGTTCATCGACATCTGCAGATCCTTCAACGGGGACATTGTCATTCAACATCATGTCAGTGTCTACAGTGCCTTTGTTGTTATCCTGTTGATTTTCGTCTACATCCATAGGTGTTTCGGCTTGCTCATTATTATCCTGAGCCTTGGATGGTTCCGATTTTATAACTTTAGTTGCAACCGGACGAGAATCTTCAGTTTCTCTTTCCTAAAAATAAAATAAAATAAATAAGACATGAAAATTAGTTATAACATTTAATTTATCATTTACCCCATTTGAGGTTGATGGAGTTGGCTGATTATGATCTTTCTGAATGTGATCGAGGCAATTTATTCGACTATCAAAGGATTTGGAACATACTTGACATCTATAAAGTCGTTTCTTCTGTTGTGGTACCTAAATTAAATTAACTATTAATATGCTTCAAGTTATAAAAATAAAGAGTTTAAATCAAAATTGTGTTTCATAATATTAAATATATTTATAATGCTAGTAAATGAGTTGCGTGTATTATTGAAAAAATTCTTTTACAAATTAAAATTAATAAATAAAAACATTAGTAAAATACTATATATTTTTTAAATATGACCTCTTGGAACACAATAAGATATTGAAAGTTAAAATTTGTCATAGTTACAATTCTAACAGCAATATAGTTTAATGATGCGAGACACAATTCAAGTTGAGTATAGTTAACAGAGCATTAACATTTAATATTAATAAGTGTTAACAACTCAATTAAAATATGAAATGCAAAAATATTTACTATCTTATACCTAAAAATCTATATAATTAAAGAGAATATTATTTTCTTTTTCTTACTGGGGTTAATGTTTTAGCAGCTGCTTGATTAAGAATAGGTTTCTCAGGCTCCTTTTTATTCATATGAGTGCGCATGTGGAATCTAAAATGAAAGTGTAAATAATAACTTTAAAATAATATTAAATAAAGTACTTACCGAACATGTCCTAGTTCTTTCGATTGGAATGTACAAAAGCCGCACTTGTATATTTTCATTTTATTAGTGCTTTCTTGTTGTGGAGGAGGTTGTTGTTGATGATGGTGTTGTTGCTGTGATTGATGTTGTTGTGGTTGATGTTGTTGCTGCTGTTGTTGTGTTTTTAACAATTTTAAAGGAGTTTGTACTGGAGTAACAACTGCAGCAGGAGTTACAGTAGGAGAAACTCCTACTGTCAGACCACTGGGTACTTTACGTTGACCTTGTTCCAGTTGTTCCTCTGCCTTTAAGTGTCCATTGACAATCTGAGTAAAGGGTAAAGATATTTATTTATAACAACAATATTATGTAACTTGTTTCTAAGTAGGTTTTTATCCTTACCTCAACACCCTTAACAGCCTGATCAGGAGGCAATATTCCATATTTCTTTTGTATATATGACAACATTGCATTTTTAACAAGTTTCAGATCATTTTCCAACTTGTCCATATGAGTCAAAAGCGAGGTACATTTCTTGCACATGTGATCAGTGGGGGTTACAATAACTACAAATTCTTCTCCCATAAGCTCGACAATTTTTTCTGGGTATGGCACATTACTATGTGGTGTAATGCTTGAACACACCCGTGTGCGTTCACCGTACAATTTTGAATCACAAAGAAAACAGACACCCATCGTAGCTAGAAAAAAAACAAAACAATTTTATAAGTTAGGAATAACTCATAACTCATAAGTGATAACTAAATTGACTGTAGCTAATAGAATATTAAGAATACCGTTAAAAATATAATATTAGAATATACACTAGATATTTTACATTTTACTTTATGATAAATATTTAAAATGTTCAATTAAACAATCTAAATCAATCATCACAGTAAAGGATATTTATTAGGATAAAAAATTTGCTTTTCTCAAAAACTGATTGGCGCTTTAGAATTTAGAAAATTTAACAGTACAAACTTAAATGGAAATTATTAACAAATTGGATTTACTACTAATTAAAACTCAAGCATTTAAAGCAAAATACAGTTTGATACTAGGAATTTAAAAATAAAATTTAATTTATATTGTCATTACTTATTTATGAAGCACAAATTTGTATGTAGTATGAGTAACGCAATATGATTTAGGAGCCTAGCTGTAATATGTGAATTGTGAAAATATGGGGAAAAAATTTAGACAATTAAGTAGGTACATAGTTTCTTTTATTTATACAGTAATGAAACCCTTCAATAGAATTTATTGGTTTGTCTATTAGCAGGTCAAGACACCAGAGCTATTCGAGGCTACATGGTGGATTGACAGCAAAAGTATGTGATGATAGCTGGGAGACCAAAGGGATAGAATGGTGTTGGAATTAAGAATGAAACCCATTATAATGGATTTTGGTTAGTTAGTATGTTTCTATTTATAAGGAGTTTAAGATTGGTTTGTGACGTACCGGGTTACATTACTCAGGGGGTCTGAGACTAGAACAAATTACGAATGTAAAATGAATAACAACATGTAGGAGGGAGGCTAGAATATTCAAAAATTAAATAAAAATAAAAATCAGGTTATTTAATTTTGATTTCAAGTTTAAAAAATAATCAACAATATTATTAAATTTCACAGGAATTGATGTTATTAGAAGAAACTTTAAGAGAGTTCAGATTCAAACATAAAATTAATTATAAGTTAACTATACCTAGTCTAATACAATCATAAGTAATATTATTTGACATGTTCTATAACTGAAATACTACCACTGATGCACATAAGTAGAATTTGTGGATTTGACGTAATAGCCGTAATATTAATGAAAATATTTAAAGTAACAAGTATTGTAATTTTGTTATTTTTCAGTAGTAATTTAACCAACCTGAGTCCTTATGCCACTGGGTTTTCGCCCAAATTCAATTAGGAATGTCAGTACCTACAGTATACTGTACATACTAATTACTTGTTACTCGACTAATATTATACACATTCTTAAATATAGATAATTCATTTTAAAACAATTAAATAATAAGAAGACATACAATGACAGTTGATAATATGATGAACGCCTCGAACAGCACAATTATGAATGGTATACGATAGTAAATGTATACCGACAGAATGAATAAACAAAACAAAAAAAAACAAATAATTACTTGAGATAAATATCCAGAGAAAAATAAAAGTAGGCAGGCAATTTGGGCGTCGTAAATAAAATAACGATGTTCAACGCGAACCGCGGGAGACAATTCCGTCACAGCCGGGAAAAAAAAGCTAAGCACGCGCTATCGAACTGCGTGAACGAGCGGGTCACAGGGCGGCGGCCATTGCGTAGCAGACGAGTAAACGACGGTGATATGACTGCAACCACTGCTAAAAGTTAGGATGTAACCGAGCAACGACAAGACGGGGAAAACGACGGAACGCAATCACCGCATCCAGTCGCGTACGTTAAAAAACGGCTAACAAAAAAAAAAGAAGGAAACCGGAGAAAGAAAACGCAACCGGCTGGCTCGTTAGTTGTTAGTTGTTACTTTGTAGTTTGCGCCGTTTGTGGTCTTTGTAAGCAACACGTATGGGCAGATGGCGTCCGATCGTTGTTAGTATACCGCGATACCAAGCAGTTTGCCGGGTTGGTAACCTTGTATCGACCGACGACGATGTGGCGGTGGCGGTACCGGTGAACAGAGCGGTCAGCGGTGTACGCTACTCCTCCTGACTGTTTGTGCGACGAATCTTTGAGTGGCGAATAACCGGCGTCGGCCAGCCGCCAACGGCTAACGAATAACGATCGAACGCGGGACGGCGCGGCGGGTCGGATGCTCCCGAACACGAACGACAAGGCGCGCTGTTTGAATATCGAACGAACGATTCGGTGTGACGCGATCGTCAAAAAAACGAATAATTTAAAAGCGATGATTAAAACGGACGGGATAATAGTCGAGCATTACACGACAATCGGACATACCGACGCCAGTACTATAATATAAAACTCTGACAAGAGGCCGGCGCAATAATAAATGTAGTTTAAAAATGGCGTCCTACAACACCGCCCGAGATAGCTTAGACTTCCTAAGCACAAATCTTTTAGGGAGTTTGTTAATCAGTCCCAAACGAAAAATTTCACACTAATGTAGTTCGCGATGAGATTTAAGTACCGACGTCAAAATGATCGACTACGCACGACGATAGTAGAACCCCAACGTCACCAATGAGAGAATACAAAAATGGCGTCCTCAAACAGCTCAATAGCAGTCTCGACGAATACGACTAACACGAGACCAAAACACTTTTTGGGCAATACCTTTTATTAGTCAATAGTCGATCCCTTACGCCAAATTCGTCTCTAACATTTAGGGCGGTAAATAACGTTAAAAAACATTAAGAAAAGTCGACAAGTGACAACAAAGGATACCTATTTGGTTGGTTTCAAACATTTTAACCACTGTCTACTATTTAACAACGCGTATACGGTATAAATGAAATCGGCCATGGCTGCCTATTCACCAAAACTTAAAAACTAAACAAAATAAATGTATTGATTTTTCAAACAATCCAAGCTTGGTGAAAACGTGAGCAAAAACGAATTCCAACCATGGCCGGGAAAGTGTTAGTTAAATTTGACATTAATTATTGTAGATCAAAAATGAAAATGTTCAATGCTTACCTTTTCGTTCGACGTCGTGCGTGTACGTCGTACAAACCAAAAATCGTAACAAGACGACTTCCCCTGATCAAAGACCAGCTCTTCACTCAGCCGTTGACAATAAACATCCACAGCAGGACGTACGCACGCCCCACGATTAAATAATTAAAACTAACAGACTAAAATAATAAATGACAGAGAACTGAAAACAGAAAACACACAACAACAAATGACGTTCGGCGCGAGAAATGAGAGGTTGACTCGCGTAGAAGTGCGAGTGTGCCGACTGCCAAGACGCCGTGTGTAATGAACAGGGACGCGACGGGTGGGGATGAGAACGGCACGAACAGCCGCACAAGACGACAGACGACCGAAATTACCGTCACTGGCGTCACTGCTGTACTATGGGCATTATGTTAGAAACGACGCACACGAACTGAAACGAGCGAGACGAGACACTCCCATTGGCTGTCAGACATGGCTGGTAGGCATCATACCATTGTTGTAGTAAAATTTGCGGCACCAGCTTTATTGCTAATACCACTACCCTGGTTCACAAACTCAGAGTTCAACATTATCGGAGGCTACTAATTCATTATCAGTTATCACTTTATCATGTTCATACATCGTTTACGCGGCCACCGATCAAGTCTGGAACGTGTATAGTGATAGTGAATAGTGATAGCGCATTATGCCATCGCTCAATCGTGAGCCGTATTAAAATAATAAAATGTACACGATTAAACTTTACTTCATAGACGTTATACCTTAATTTTTCAGATTATTTTCATCCGTGCGGTATTTGTTTCGAATATAATTCTCGTATCGTGTTCTCTCGGCAGTTTATTCATTAACTCTCAATATTGTGAACTTCGATTGACAGTGCAATGAATTATAACGACAACACATTCAATAGTGAGTCTTAAAAAATCAGAATGCATTGTAAGTTATTTTGTTGTACGTTTTTTTCTTAAATAGCTATGCCGGGTAACAGCAGCAATAAACGTCTAACAAGACGACCTATGGAAACGCCTGGTTTAGATGTTAATAGTATGCCTCCACAACAAGTACAGTACAACTATGCCCAACCAACTATGTACTCTCAGCCATCAGAGCCCCAAACAATGCCTTCTCAACAACAATTCTATTACAATGACTTTACATCAGTTCCATCACCACCACAACATGGGTATGGCAATAGCGATTTTGGATACGTTGGATCCATGCCAACAGATAACATAAATCACCGACAACATTACACGCCAAGTAACTATTAATGATTTATATCAATAAAAATATAGTTTTAAAGTATTAAATCATGTTATGTACAAAAGTAGTTGAATAAACTGTCAATCCCAAATAAAAATATAATTAAGAATGGAGATTATTCATGTAATAAACAATTTCAATTACATATGAGCAACAGCAAAATATATGTTTACATTATAAAGAAATAATGTTTACATATAGGGTACCTGTTAATAGTAAAACAACCTTGTGTAAATAATATTTACCAACCTACCACACACTTATTTAAAAAAAAACTTAACTAATATTAATCATGTTTAACATCGGCACCATATTGTAAGTTTTTATTTTTAGCATTTCCACCTATGTCATCGTTACTAATATCTACCTATGGAGGACCATATTAATCAGGAAATAAATGTTTACTTGAAGTAATTTAGATGACTAACGATTACCACTTTTGAAACTACAGTTATTGAGTTTCAAAAATCTATTAAATATTATAAGTAGGCTTACAATTAAGGGATTATTTTTTATTTAAATTTAAAAATATGAATTTTGTGTTTTTTACCATTTTTTAATAAAGTATTATATTATTACTATGCTTCTAATAGATCCTGAAACTTAATACATTCACATTAATCATTTTTTGCTAAATTTACAAGGTCTTATTTAATAATTACAGAATTTTGATTCATTAAATAAACACAGAATAGTCAATCTTTTTTATTTTGTCAGTTTTAATGTACACCTTTTAGGTTTTTAACGATTTTTGGGTTTATGCTTCTTTGAGAAATAAATTATTAACTATTAATTTTTATACTTTTTTGGCGTGCTAGTATTACATAAAATATTTTTATGCAGTACTTGAAATATATAATAATTAATAATTATTGTTAATGTATAAATTTATTATTCTAAAACAATTATCAAAAGTCTTAAAAGTAATAATTTATTACCACTTGTATACATAACTTAATTATTTTTCTTCCCCTTTATTTTTAATTCTGTTGCTATTGGCATTCCTAGGCCCACAAACTAGAAATTTTGTGGCTATCCTTTTGTATTAGAAATACATATTAAAAAAATTGGATACTTCAAATATTTCTATCATTCAAATATTTAATGTTTATTGTTTATAATTTTAGGCCCTGGTCCAAGTCCTCAACCAACACAACCAGTAATTTTTAATCCTACAACTAATTTAGTTGATGCATTTGGAAGTAATCCTCTCTTAGCAGGAGCTACTGTACGATACGGACAGAAAATTTTGGGGCAGGTTGTTGATGAAAATGTTGGCAAATATACAAGCGGAATAAGTTCAGAAATAAAACGTTATTTTGCTGTAGACACCCGTTATGTGATCAACAAACTTGGTTTATTATTGTTTCCATTTGTCCATACAGTAAATTTAAAAAAAATACTATTATATTTATTTCAAACTAAACTGTTTTTAAATTAATATTTAAAATAAAATATCTATTTTGTATTGGATAAAGTTAACTCATTTTATTGTTTTCAAGGATTGGTCCATTATGCTAGAATCAACAGAACAATCGGATGATCGTCGAAGAGCAAGACCAAAAACAGATATCAATGCACCAGATCTTTATATTCCTACTGTAGCTTTTGTAACGTAAGACTAGCATGACTGTTTCATTAATTTGTCTTTCAAAATTAAATTATTAACTATTTTACAGATATTTACTGTTTTTGGGTCTCATACTTGGTAAACACGGGCAATTCAGCCCAGAACTTTTAAGTGTACAGGCTTCTCGTGTTCTTGCTTGGGAAGTAATAGTGGTTTTAGTGGAGATAATGGCATTATATGTTACAAATATACAAAGTTCATTACGTGCTTTTGACCTAACTGCGTATTCAGGATACAAGTATTTTGGGTAAGTAATTGTTAAAAATGTCTGAAATGTATGCTGTTCTTATATTATACTATTTATAAGAAAACTTTCTGTATCTTTGTGGTAAATGTGTTTTTTTTACAGAATTATAAGCTGTATTCCAGTTGGTTTGCTTTTTGGAGAAACTGCATTTTATCTTTCCTTACTATACATTGGAATTGCATTTATGTACTTTTTGGTAATATATATTGTATTATAATTTTTGAATGAACCCAAAATAAATTATAGATATACAATTTATAAATATTTTGATCTTTAGTTATTTTCAATGAGATGGCAGTTGAATTCAATAGCGACAGTTGCAAATGTTGGCCAACCAGTAGTAATGGTCGAGTACAAGCGTAAAAGAACATTATACTTCCTGATTTTAGCAGTGGCCATTCAGCCGATAACTACGTGGTACCTTATATCATATTTAACATTTACCATGAGATGAATATAACTGGAAGACATTTCAAGAAAATTATTTATGCCATCAAGCAATCCAACCATGCTATTAAAAACTGTATATATTATATACATATTGTCTTTTCATGTTTTAATAGTCTTTATTGGTATGATACTTTTAGGGCTACATTTTAACAATGTATCATTCTACATGTATTGTAATATGCATAGACAATTCATTATTTTATATGTTTAATAGTGTAATTGATTTAATTTTGGGCTTTTTAAATTAAGAATGTAATACATACATATAAATTGTTATTTTTTAATAAAAAAAATACCGCATAAGCAATCAATAGAATTTGTATAATGATTTTAATTATTGTATTGCTAAAATCAATCTCAAAATTATTCTTTTTTTGTACAGCAACAAAAAAACATATAATACCTGTATGAAGATAATATTTATAATATATATTTTATGTAATAGCACTTATCAATTTTTAGTTGGAACTACTAATAATTTAATTTAAATGGAGCCCTAATATAAATTTTTATTTTTAAAGTTACTAGCTTATTATTTCATTAAATTTTCTACATTGTTTTATTATAATATCTTTTGTTTTTTTTAAATTTGTATGTTTTGCATACATTATGATAATTATTAAAAATTTTGAATTAAAATATATTCTTCTAACTTGTAAAATATGTTATATATATTATTATTTTTTTTTTTGCCATCAGTATTTGTATAATTCTTTAAATTATACAATCAGTGTCCTAACTTATAAATTACTTCAAACTAATTAATTTCAACTTAGAATATTATATATATACAATATTTTGTGAATGAAAGGAAGTTGAAGTTTTATTCTCCATGTTTTTGTCAGCCATGGAACAATAATACTAATTTGGTGTTGTTGAGAAAATAATCGCATATATATATATATATGTATATATTAATATACTTTTATTTGTTTATAATTTTTACAATGTACTTGGTAAAACATAAATGTTTATGATGTACAAATCATAATGAATAAAACTTCAAATTGATATCTACGGTCAAATTTTAAACTATATCAAAACTGAATTGAATTAACAATAATGTATAATTAGAAATTGTCATCAACATTTAAAATAAATTCTTAGTTCGATGTTAAACATTTTTAATTTCCACTAAATGTATATATTATATATTTTATATTATTGTGTATTACAATTCACAATACCATCATTTCATGGGTATGTAGCTAATTCAAATTGAAGATTTTTTTACAAAAATATTTGCTTTGTTATTTTGTTAACATAGCTTTTTAAAACCATACTATGGTGCGAAATCCTGGATTTAAAAGCAAAATATTTTTTAATGGAATTTTTATTTCAAATAATACAACCAAAACATAAATTTATTTTTAATTTTTGACAGTCTCTCGCCAGTATGCATTTTTCCTAAAAAAGTCTAATAATAATTTTATAATAAAATGTTATACTTAAAGGTCTAACATTTGGAACAAATAAAACTAATTCAAAATAATAAATATAGTTCGATAAAATAAAAAAATAAAAATAAAATTATTTTTGATTTTATTTTTAAAATTCATACTTTAGGTATATTTTTTATTTTGCTTATAAATGCATATTTGGTGGCTTTTTATGGCTACAAGTAATTAATAATAATTAAGTAAAAATCAACAAAATATTTTTATATTTTTGAATTGAAGTATGATAATAATAACAATTTTCTATTTAACATCCTTCTCTAAATTATCAAGGATATGTGGACAGGTTGTTTATCTCTACTATTATCCAATTAATGCTGATCCTCATTCTTTACTACTATAATATTATCAATTCTTCAAGTTTTACTTTATACTAATCATACATAAATATTGTATAGCACTTAAAAGAACAATTATGATTATTTTGATTGTAGCATAAACAGTTGTCTTGAAGTGATATTTGTCTTTACTAAAGTAACTTGACATTAAGATAATACATTAAAATAAAAGTTATTTTTATGTAAAAACTATTTATTTCAAAAGAGTGAAAGAATGTTATAAGATGTGTAAATGACTCAGGACAAATGGGGCATAGAATTTAAATCTTAAGTTGATTTTATGAAAAAATGAAATACAATAATTGTGTCGGTTTGTTTTTATAAAACTACACAATTAGTACACCAGTATATAAAAAAACAATTTGAGGCTAAAATAAACATATCAAATGTTAATATTTATTAAATAGGAATAAATAATATTAAGGGGTACAATATATTTATTGTAGTTTTTTATAAATAAATTATTATAACCTTAAAATTATCAGCATTAAATATTGTATTTGGTAGTGACATTAAATTATATTAAACTGGCTGTATAATAAGCCATGTATGCAATAATTGCCGATACACTAGGTCAAGGGTCGGGAACTTGCATCTCTTTAATATGCAACCTGTGGCTCTTTGGAAAATTCATCAATGTATAGAGATCCATAAAATATAAATTATATAATTATACCTGTGTTATTATAGTGATTAATGATAATATTTCGGAATTTCTTAATAACGATTTTCAGGTAAAATTAAACAATATTTAGTACCTAGTCATTAGGTGCTACATATATAAGAAATAGCCATTAAGAAACTCAAATAGAAAATTTGATTTATTTAAAATGGGAAATAGTCAATACACAGCATGATTCTTCTATACTAGCTCTTAGTATAAGGTAGACATTCGGTCAAAGTATCTAAATTTAAAATGTAGAAAAAATATTTTATTTTCTGATGAAATTAATTCATATATTAAATTTTAAAACTAGCTCGAAAAATTAATTCAACCTATAGGAAGGTTATACACTTATACCTTATACCTATACTTGTATTAGGTAGGTACTAAATAGTAAAGACTAATGTTTAATAGTAAAATAAATTACTTTAACAGCAATATTATCACAAAGTATACTTCACAAACATGAAACATTAGTTGTTAAACTTTTTTTCTTTATTAAACAAAGTTTTTTATTTACAATCTGTAATTACTAGGGTTATGATGTATATGAGTTTTTCACATTTTTATTTTAGTTGTGCACAAGGAGACCACATTATAAATTCATTCCTGAGACACAGATTCACTAAATTTTAATTTGCTTAGTTTTACATATTTAAAGGTTTTGAAGTACCTGTGCATATTTAAAATATAAATGTATGTCTTGCATATTTATTTTGCGTATTTTGATAAAAACTGAAAAAAACACAAAACAAAATATGAAAAAATGTATAATTCATAAGTAATAATATTTTTGTCTCGTCGATTGTTTCACGGGCCGGTTATTTCATAAGTGGGTGTTAATAAACCAATTAATAGTCTATACTGTCTATAGATTCTCTAATACATTGGCCAGTTATAATTGTGAAGAAGTTTATACTCTATCGTTTTGAAGACCAAGAATCATGATTGTGTCACAATGTCGTTACTCGTTAGTTCCTACTACCTACCTACTGCCCCCATGACTTGGACGTCTCTAAAATTAATATTGTATAATAGTTTAAAAATAATTTTAACAAATTTTACGTAATTTTAAACATTATATTTTAGATGCCGAACAGAGCAAAAAATTGATGTGTGTTTTTTATTTTTTGTGTCTATCATCACGGTTTAAGGCAGTAAAAGTACTTCGATTTTCTTCAACAGCAATCTTTCTATTAGGAAAGTGAATCTAGTTAGTGTATTTGGGAGGACAACATTTAAAATTCCCAATAGTTTTCAAAAGTGACAGGGGAAAAACAAATAACAAATTAAGGAAAAACGGGAATTTGTATGCAAAACCAGCAATCGAAAAAATCGATTTTGGTTTTTAGTGTAACTCCATAAAATATGACCATAGAAAGGTACCTACGTAAAATGTTCATCAAATGTTTTTGTTAGCATTTTCAATACACCATGTATTTTTCAAAATGTTTTGAAACTATTTTTAAACTTGAAAAATGTTAAACTATTTATAGGCACAAGTAATTTTCGGTTATTATTTGTTTTTTTTTTAAATTACTGTCGAAAAAAAAATTTTCGCCTTGTCACAGAACTTGAAAATGTAATACAAGAATCTTGATATATTGTTACAATACCTAGCAGTTGAAAAATATTAAAAATAATATATAAGCATAGTTTTTTTTTGTAGTCATTTAAAGTTGAAAATTTCACAATATTTATTAAATTTAAAATAAAAAAATAAAAAATGATTTTGTACGTTAAAATGTATAAAATCCTAAGGTAAGCATTTTTTTCCGTAGGTAACTAAAAAACTTAAAAATAGCTTTCTTATTGTTATTTTGAGTTAAAATTTAGGCGAAATTACACATTAACACAAAGAATAACGATTTTAGTCATTTTGTTGTAATTCGATTCCAAAACAGCACAATTTTACATAAGTATAAAATATAAATAATATTTCTCCAGCATCAATGATAATTTAAGAATAATATTAATTCAACTTACCGGCTACCGTACTAATAATAAATAATAACAGTATAAAATATCCTAGACTAACATACCGTTTCCGCTCAGAATCGTTTTTTGTATACAACGATAAGTATATCATTGAATTTAAATTTAATACCATCCATTTCAGCGACCTTTTAGATACCTAAAGTACAGCAGAGGAACTTCCACCTACCCTTTTCTTGCATATTTGCATGAATTTTCAAAGATTTTAAGGTCATAAACATTTAAACCCTAGCAATAACGTAGTTATACAACAAGTAAATTGGAGGAAGATTTTTGACGTGAAAGGGAAATCGAGTTCAAATAATATAATACTATAATGATATCGTACTGTTATATTGTCATTTTAATTTTTTCATCTTAGCTTTCGACAAAAATTAAATGATCAACTTAGGGGCTTATTGGGGAGAGATTTCAAAAGGGAGAATACAAAAGTACCAGCCTACTTACTAGTTACTATAACTTACCAAATATTATTTTTGCCTTTGGATACTTGGACCTAGATGTATAGAATATACATACCTAATATTGACAATGTGTATAGTTTGTATTTGATTCAAAATCATTAGTTTATTTGCTGAAAATTAAAAAAGTGTACCTATCTGTCCTACCTATCTAGTTTAGTGACATTTTTTTTTGAACTATCTATTGAAATTCAAATTTTGAGGACATTGATGTTCGAACGTACCCATATAATATGTACCTACTTATCGGTTTATCCTATATTCCTATACCCACTTTTATTTTGTTCTTTTGTTATTCAAAAATATTGATCATAGACCATAGCAATTTGAAACATCCCACTATCACTTTAAAATTTAAATTTTAACTATCATTTTTTATACGCAATCCAATTTTAAAAGTATGTAGGCTAAACTTAACCTATTTAAACTTTAAAGACATTTAAAATTTTTGATTTTGTTATAGTTTTTTAAGCATTGATGAAAATGCTTAAGTTTTAGACTTTTAAATTGAATACAAAAATTAAACATAAGTTGCTCTTATAGCAGTTTAAAAATATAAAAAATTACACATTCATTTTTTTTTTTATAAGCATTTAAAGTACAAAATTGTCGACCAAAATCGTTGAGATTACGAAAATGCATAAACTGCAGTTTATATTGTAGACTGGACTACTGGAGGGCATTTCAAAGGAAAAAAACCCAGACAGCTGACAGTTACATTATATTTATTATACTTTTGGTTGGATTTTTATCGCTCTGGACTTCTGGTATAAATAAACTCGTCTTTTGCTTTATCAAATTCAATTAAAATTTAAATCAAAATTCAAAATTTTAACATCAAAATCGTTTCTGACGTCGCCGTCACTCGTTGGCATTATAATCTATTTTTACTCTCATTCGTCTATTATAGGTATTCCAATTATTATATTAAAAACCCACAAGCCGCCACTATAGACGGGACTTGTATTTTTAATTTGAAAAATAAAACTATAGGCTTAATCAAATGCAACGAAAAGCCCAAAAATGGAAGGCTGCCAGCTGCTTCCGCCGTCGCTGGCACTAGTATATTCTATATAATATCTTGAAAATTGTTATTTTAGGAAAACGATATTAAATAAATAATATATAATTATATAAATAATTGGATCTCGAGTATAATTGACAACTGCCCTTATATAACGATAATGATTATTACCTAATGGTTGTATAAAGCAACATTTTAATCCGTGTTTCTTATATTATTATACATATTAATTATACCCACATTATGATAACTGATGACTGATGAGTATTCCAGGGGAGATTGTAAACTCGCGCCGGTTGTCATTTGCGCATCGCTATTGTTAATTTAGACCTTTTTGTAAGACATTTGCGCATCGTTCGATTTTTGGGTTATATATCATTTGCGCATCAGCCGTTTAAAAGGTCTTACATCATTTGCGCATCAATATTATTTAACAATAGAATTTTAAAAAAGGTGTACACCCAAAAGTGCTAGTTGTTTTCTAACTTTGATCTTGAAATTCATTCATCAACTTTCAAATATTGTACAGATATTTCTGTTTTAAAATATGTTTGACGACGCATATGGTAGAGAGAAATGGAGAGATTTTGTGATAGCAGCGATGGCACTTAATGGGCCGATAAGCTGAGAATATTGAGATAATATTGTGTAGGATTATCATTATAGTTAGCAATAACATAACTAAGATAAAAAAATTGTTATGCCTCAATAAAAATTGATGAACATTGAAGATTTATTCAATTTATTTTAATTATATGGGTTTGTTTATTACATATGATTTATGAAAATCATTACATTTTCAATGAAAAACTATTTTTTATACAATTCTATTGTTCAGCATGTTGATGCGCATTTGATGTATAATAATTTGGTGCAGGTAAAACGGACAATGCTCAAACGATAATTAGCGCTGATGCGCAAATGATGTACGATATTTTGGCACAGGTAAACAGACGATGCGCAAATGATGTACGGCCGTAAACTCGGCCCGAGGAAAAAACATTTTCAAAAGGTCGATGGTAAAGGTAAACTCGGCCCAGGTTTTTTTCAGGTCAATATTATTTAGATGTAAACTCGGCCCGGGTTTTTTTCAGGTAAAAATTATTTAGATGTAAAAACCATGATTTTTCTTATAATATTTTTGAGAAACATTTAGAATTACCCAGAGGACACTACGAGGAGGCGGTTCTCATTATCCTCCAAAAATTATTTTCATAAATATTAGAGCATAGCGTAATATCTGTCATCCGAATAATATCTGCCTATTGTTTTTACTCATTATCTATTATAATTGTCAATCAACAATCGTCAGTTTAAGGAAAACAATTAAATATATATTAAAATTGTAGGTACTAGGAAGTCTTGAGAATTGTTATACAATGTGGACTAGAAATTACAGTTACCGACACTCTAGTGCCCCCAACTCTGACCCCCCCCCCTTGGATCGCCCCTGAACAACACAGCGGTATCCAGTATCCACTGCCCGTCTGCCCACCATTTTTAAATTACAATTTTTTTAATTAGAATAATTTGTAATCTTGGATATTTAATCCCACTTACACTAATTATTATGGATTACTTTTTACTGTGCTAGAACTTTCTGACCGATTCACCAATTGACGATTAGTGATAATTTAGTATCTAAGTGCCTATTGATTACGTAACGTGAAATATTTATCATATTATTATTTTTTCCGTGTTATCGGTTTGGATTTCAGCAAAAAATTGACGTGTTCTTATCATTTACGTTATCGAGACATCGAGCTGAATCCCGAGAAAATTGAGTACTGACTACACTGTACAGAAGTATAAACGCCTTAAACAGTAATCATTACATTTACAATTTACATTCTTAACTATAGAATGTACTATGACTACCTCGTAAAAATATTTAATTCAAAATAAATTCGAATAAATTATTATTTATTTACGTTTAATTTTTATATTTGATTTCGTTTTGACTCAACCTCTCAATTACACCTATCATTGTTATTATGTTATTATAAATAGGTACGTACAAGTCGCTCCATTCGTTAAATAATTCACTGTTTATGTTTTTCCGTAAAATGTTATGTGTACTTAAGTGAAGTTTTCAAATTTAGTATTACCATTCAACCACACCCATAGCAGTATTATCTTTAGAAATGGGTCTTTGTAAATGTCCAAAACGCAAAACTACGAGTCATTTTTGTTTTCATCATTGTGTCAATGTCTGTGAGCATTGCATCGTTAACAATCATACAACAGTAATAAATCATATCAAATACAATTATTTATTTTTTATTTTTTTTGTTTTTTTATTACATAATTTTTAATAACAACCATGCTTTAGTGTACTGTTAAATCATATACCACCTGGTTGAAAGAAGCAAGTGGTAGCATATCATCGTCATCGGTTACAGCAGCTGCACTATGTGCTGTTTGTCAAAAGCAATTCGTTTTATCATCAAAAGAAGTTGACAATTCAACAGTCCATTTTAATGGCGCTAGAAGTAATACAAAAATTCCAATACGGCTTTTATGCTATCGTAAGTAAACAATACAAATATTAGAGGTCTATAAATTTTGAAGTCATAAATTGTGTATAGGTATCATAAAATAAATTTCAATGCATTATTGAATTCTAAGAATAAGTGCGTATTTAATTTATGTACCTGTTTAATTAGATATATGTAAATGGATGTGCAAAGTAATCTTTTTGAATGACACATGCATTGAATTTTATTTTTGAATTAAAGCTACAATAAAACCTGATTAATCCAGATAGTCATTTAATAATACTTATTATTTGCATTATCAAAAAAATATTCTCAACATTTAGCAGTTTCTTCAAACCAGAATGAGTATCAAGCTTGGTAAAATAAAAGTGTGCTTTGATTACCATGTTCTAATTCTGTGCTATACTAGTTGAACCACCTATTTGAGATACGGCGTAAGTCCATAAAAGGTAGTTCTGAGAAAACAAGAAAAAAACTGTTTGTAGGCTGCCAATGATAACTGAGTAAATATTTTTTTTTCACAAATGTTCACACATGATCCGTCTATCATTTGAAAATACATTCCACTCAATATCTCAATTTGTGATATTTTGTGACTTACATCGTTTCTAAAATAGGTTGTTCAGTTATTTGTATACTGTATTTCATTATGCGTTTTATACTAAAGAGTTTCTGTATTTCTTAAATTTAAAACAAATTATTTTCACCAACAAAGTCTATAAATATTAAGCTTGAGTCATTTCATAAGTTATTTTCTTTAATCAGAACTTTCATAAATTCGGAAAATCTAGACCCCCAATTAGTCTGGATCAATGAGGTTCTACTATAACTATATTGACAATTTTGATACATATAAGACTTGTTCATTATTGACCAACAGTTATTTTATGAACTGATAATTAACAGATGTAGTGCATACACGGTGTTTATCATCTTATGTTAAAAAGCAATTTAAAGAAGGAAACATTTTAAAATGTCCATCATGTGATCGACAATTGTGGACACAGCAACACGGCCAATCACAAGTTTCTGATGACAACTCAGGAGTTGAATCCAATGATTTAACACCTGTTGCATCACTGTTGTACAAACATTTATTGGATAATGGCAGTTGGTGGGGCCAGGCATTGATTACAAATAGAAATGTATGTAATAAATAAGAAAGTAACATTTATGTGTACATTTTATAAAAAAAATTATCTTTTTTAAGGGGAATGATATTGAGAAATATTTAATTGAAGATGAACTTCATGAACTTGAAGAAGAGTCAGATGAAGAAATACAACAATTTGAAAACCTATCAACATTAAAAGATAATACATCTCAAATAAATATTAGTGGAAACAATATATCTCCAATCACACTAGCTGAAAAAATGCATTTACCTGATAGTAATATTGGTTATTACAATAATTATGAATTAGCACAAACAATACCGGATGTAACAACTATCAACTACCGCAATAATACAAATCAAATGTATCAGCCAATCCATCATCGACACTTCAATAATAACTATGGTAAATAATAAAGATTAATAGTAAAATAAATATGATATAAGATAATAAAATGGAAAACAGAAATTTTGAAGCTTATGATATGTATGTTCTAAATTGTATATTAAGAGGACGCCATATCTGCGTGCTTTGTTCCAGTCTTACAAATGCATAACATAGCAAATTGTACATTCTGAATAATCCATTAACTCTGTTATGTTTAATCTTAGAATGAATTGACCTGTTATCAAATTTAAAAGTAAGAATATCTAGTTGATGAAATCGGTTTGTTTTTATATTTTAATTTTAAAGCAAGTTGTGAGCATCTTTAAATAGTAAATTGTTGATACATTTTAAAATGATCATATTTCAATTTAAAATTGAAATAATATAAAAACAAACCTATGTCATCTAGTGTGAAAAATGTTAGTTTATGCTATAGGTAATCCTAATTATAAAATATTAAACAAGATACACAAGTTAAACATAATAATGGGGCTTAGCATTTATCAATAAGTAAAATAAATTCAATTTTTACACAACTAGACTGTCTAGACTTCATACTTTTGTAGTTAGACTAGCTTGACTGTTAGCTCGTATTATGCAAATCTTTCATTTAATATGACTTTTGTTTAAATACGGCTAATACAAAATTATTTGTTATTATGATTGTAATTTTAAAAGGTATTTAAAAATGTTCATATTGAAAAATTAGTTATTAATTTTTTTTAGGTCAAGATTCTTCATTAACATTTCAACAGCTGCAGCATCAACAACAACAACAACAACATCAACAACAACAACAGCAACAGTGTTCATCTGTTAATATGACAACAATTGCACAGAATTCAGATTTGAATAATAGACATGTGATAACATCCACTACTCCATTACTGTTAAATAATGAAAATCATTTAAATCATGATGAACAACAAGATCCTAGTGGCAAATACAGACCTAAAAAGTTTAATAATCAATCTTGGTCTTTATGTTACCAACGACTAATGCAATATTTTCGTGGGTAAGGACAATTTCCTAGCAGTAGTCAGTGCAAATTTTTAGATTTTAATTTTATACCATTTTTTTAACCAATTTTTATATAATGTTATAATAAAATGAATTGTTTTAATCATGATTATCTGCTCAGGTTGGGAATCTAAGTGTTATTGGTTGTAATTAAATCAAACAAGCGATGTATTAAAAAACTAAACCGTTAGTACTCCTTGTGCCATGCGCCCATGTCACACATCCATTGCAACTTAACAACATTAATTTATATACTTTAATAATTGAGATATAAGAGTTTTGTTTAGATAATTTAGTACTCAGAAACAATTGTTTCCTGTCAAGATCATCAAATTTAACTATTAATATCTAAAAATGTTTACTGGAAAAGTTTATCAAGTATAAATATCTAGTATACATGCTAAATAAAAAGGAACAGTGAACAAATGTAATGTATTTTATTTTTCAAAAATAATATTTTTAGTATAAATCATTTTTAATAAATTGAAAAAAAAATATTATCTTTACAATTAAATAAAATTATCATATTTACAAAATATAAAATAACATAATACATTTTAATCAAAATTAATCAAAATTAACTAAAATGAATAAATAACTTTTCTTCTTAATTAAGAATGTCGATTCACTGCTAAATGAGATTAGTTCTGGAGTAAAATGTTTCTCACATACATGTAAATTGCCATTAACAATACAATTGAGTCTAAGTATAGCATTTGACAACTTATACTTAATTCAGAATCACAGCATTCTCGTGGTTCACTTTTTATCTGAAAAAACCCAACATGATTGCACACTTTTTACCTTTTATATTTGAGCAAACACAACAATGATTGCCCTAAATAAATATTTTATATTGTTAGATTTAAAGAAATAACATTTATCATTTAATATCTTAAATGGTTTACTTACACTACTAAAACTTAGTTTAGAGTATACGCAAAAAACAAATAACAAATTATAAATAAATACTTAAATCACGAAATTAAAACATTTTCCTGACATTAATAATAACATAATGTGTTTACTCAAAAATAAATAATTATAATACATCTCAATTTTGTGCCTCAAAAGGAATAATATGCCAATACTCATCTACAAAATTAAAAGAATAAGGTTTACTCATAACGATGCTGATAATAATAATAATAATAATAATAATTTAATGGGCATACCTAGCAGGAAATATTGATTATGTCAAACAAATAACAAATTATTACACAAACTAATGTTTATAAAATTTCAAAAAATTTCTGCCATAAACTATTCACTGGCCGTAGCAATTGTGTATAGGTACATAATGTACCTTACTGTAAGCAGGTTTCAAAGTCCTACCAGACTGTGTCCTGTGAGGCTAGCAATGGAAGTACACCCCAACTCCTAACCTGTATAGATAATCTAGTCTTAATTAATGTTATATAAGTGCATGACAGTAATACTTAAGACAGTTTCAGTATATCAGAAAAATGGATTATCTTAAGCTAAAAAATTCACTATAATTGTAACTTATTTACAATTAACAATAATACATGGAACATTTTAGCTTGTGTATTATAAGTTATTAAAATAATGTTGTATTTTTTTCTTTTCAGTACAAACAATAAAGCAGAAGATAATAGTACTACAAGAATTGCCACAATAATAATTTTTGGTTTATTAATCATTGTGGTGTTGTTAGTAGCTATTACTAGTTATACACGTTCCAATAATGAACCATTTGATAATAACAGCATAGATTATGCTGGAGATGAAATTGAAAATAATGGCGGTGGTGCAGCAACAAATTTAAAAAGTTTCAATGTTAACAACTTGTAGCACTAAATGTAATTTTAGTGATATTACCAAGCATTTTTATGTATTGTTTCTGATTTGTTGAAACTCAAACTTCTTTTGTTCATGTGGCAAATTATTTAAAATCATGTTAATCATCATACTTTATTGTGAGATTCTCACTCAGTTATTTTATCAGTCACAAAAATATTACATTCAAATTGTTTCTGAAAAAGTGATATTATTTCACACAAAACCTAGAATTTGAATCAAAGTTTATTTTTATAATATTTTTATTTTATTTTTAAAACTGAAATTAAAAACTTTAACTATTTTCTCTTTAATAAAAACATTTATTTGACAAATAAACATTAATTAGCTGGGAGTAATTTTAAAATTTTTTTTTTTTAAATACCTATCTTATAGATCAGTGTTGCAATGTTATAATTTTTAAGTATGCATTTTTTCTTTAAAATACGTATTTAAACAGTTTTAAAAAGACTTAATATAAAACCTAAATCTCTTCAAACTTTTTTTTTGTGATGTATATCTTAATTATAAAAGTTATAGCTGTTCATAGTCATATTTGTTTATGTATTACATTTATATGCGATTATGTGCAATTTGCTATTATTATTGAAATAAAGATGGAATTTTTTAATTCCTTACTAAAATCTATCTAATTAACTAAATGATCCTGTGCACTTGGGTTGCCCGTTAAAAATGCCAACTCTATATGAGATTCACTTGTGATAATGTGAGCAATTAATTACCAGGTAGGTGATCCCACTATATGCATACTCTATGTGAATAATATGTTTTATTTTTTCTCTGGACCCACAATATTAGTGTCCCATTATTATTATTTTTCTTATTACCAACAGCAACCATTTATGCACCAACATTTCCACCAAAAATCTCAAAATCCTTTTCTGAGCACCTCTTGGGGTTGTACCTTTCCCTTTTTAAATTAGCTTATCTTCTTCCCAGAGGTCTATCAAACTATACCAAATTTAATCACAATCGGATGAATGGTTAAGGAATTCATAAAGGACAGTCAAACAGACATTCATTTATATAATTTATATATATAGATATGTATGAGTTTTATTTGGTAAATAGGACATACGGTTGTGACTTAATGGACACCAAATTTCAGAGGTGAATTTATAAAAAATTGTATTTGTTATTAAGAAAAAAAATTATTTCTAGGAAGTACCTATTGTTTTTTCTAGTTAATAAGCTTATAATATTTGTATGTTATTTTTCAAGAGTGATATCGTCCAAATGTACTGAATGGCGAGTGAAGTTGACCAAGAACAAAATGCTCTCTGTGTTGTAGTTACACAAAGCGTTTTTAAAATATAACTCGATTACAAATCTCCATTGTTCACCGGATCATGGCATGGTGACAACTGAAAAACCTTATTAGTTATTAATTACCCAACCTAATAATATTACAACTCTAATCAAATCAGTCTGATTACTCATCAATAATTATTTGAAATGTGTGAGTAAATTACGACACAATCTGTAGAAACTACTAAAATTAATAAATTTGGAATTTACATGGTCTACAGTATACCAACATTTGTCCATTTTCTCAGGAAATCAAAATGAGTAAATTTAAATATATTTTTGATTATTTAAAAACATTATATGTATAAATTAAAATATATCTGAAACATTAATTTGGTTATTATGTAAATTCAGTAGATTTATTTCTAACTACAGTTGATTGTGACAACAAACAGTTTTATTTTCATATTTTAAATCAGTATATTTTTTTTAGTATTTTGATAGAAACATAAAAACTAATAATAAATGTATTACATTGGTGAACGTATCAACAACACGATGTAGGTAGATAAATTATTTAATCTTGATAATATAACAATAAATTATAATTTATAACAACGGATCATTGTAATACTATACAGATACGATTATTTGAATATACAATATCAACTAATATAATATGTTTTTTAATAATAATTTTTATTATGTACCTATTCTATTTCATATATACCATATATATAGCCATATAGGTACACGATAAATAGCCATCAACATTAATATTCATAATAGGTATAGGCCTATTATAATGGGCGTATCATAATATAATATGACATAATCATATACGTAGAACGTAGATATCTTATAATTAGTTATACTACAGTGTACACTCTTAGATTACCTACTGAATATATACTTATGTAAGCAATAAATAAATAATATTAAAAATTAAAGTAATACAATCATATTGACATATCACGTGAATATACGGTTTAATTTTTCGATATTTTGATTGTCGACCACTTGTCGATTCGAACTCGTTAAGTGGTTGCCTATTATATATTTCTTATAGAGTAGAGATACACAACTAACATGCTAATTGCTAAGACAAACGCGAATATATAATACAATATCTACTCTACTCTCTAGATTTGTGAGTACCCTCCGTCTTTATTTTATTGGAAATTTGTTACTACACTCTAACGTATTGAGAGGGCCATGACGCATAAAACATGAGTATTACATAGTATTATATCACCATCAGTACTACTACCAGTTATTACTACTACTAGTCGTCCACTACTGCTACTATTACAGTAATACAGTACTACTACTACTACTACTACTACTCATATAGTTATTACTATTACTACAACAATACTCGCCGTACCGCTCTAACACGTAGCTCTCACCCCACTTATCCTAACACCGTTCTGATCAGCTGCCACCCAAAAATCGTTGCCCCACTACAAAGTGCCGGCGATGAGTCATCAGGAAAACATTTCGTCCGCGCAATACTATTATCGCGTTTTCTTTTTGTTTTTTTTTTTTTTAAATTTTTTCTCGAACTTCAAAATTTCTTGACTACCAACTCATCATCTGAGTGGCCGGCACTTCAACAACGCAGCATCAAATATTCGCTGGTCGCTTTAGTACGCCCGTAAGTCAACACTCGGTGCAATTTTTTTTTCGATTTGTTGACAAAAGTCGTACCTAAGTATAGATAGAGGTACGTACCTACTTATCTTATTATTTTGACAAATGACTCACTTGTCTTATCCGTGCATGCGCAAGTGTTTAAACTTAATTTCTGATTAAATATTTTTGTGTCTAAATGGGCCTATGTTTTATATTGGAGATTATTTATATTAAATACGTACGTCGTACACGGTACCTATTATTATAATATAGTAGAATATCGTAGTTTCTAAGCCTTCCTCAGTTTTATAATTTTCGAATTGATTATAAATTATAATATTATACATTAAAATATAAACATTAAAATGTTATCGTGATAACAAGATCGGCCGTTATCAATTGAGACATAACTTCAATAGTTCAATACTTCAATTGACAAACCCTATATAAATCTACCAGGTATGAGGCAGACAACATAATATTACACTCTCATATTTTTCTAAGTAAAAAAATGTTTCATAAAAATAAATAAAAATAAATTAATAAAAATAAATTAAGTCTACTTTGTGTTACACAAATTAATTTTACTAGCATTTTTCTTTTACAATTTGTTGTATTATTTTAGCTAAACTTACGAGGCCATTAACAATGTTTTCAAATCGACAACAACAAAATTCTTCAAATTTGTTACACCAAGCAATCTCATCATCTGGTTCAATTGTTCTACCTCCTCCGCCACCTGCAATTGCTATTCCTACGATGGTATCAAGCAATAGTTCAGCTGTTACATCAGTGGCTACCACCATTTTGGCTGTGAGTAATGTTCTAAAATATTTCTAGGTACTAAATATTCTATTGTACATGATGTAATAGTTATGATGCTAGTAAAAATATAATATTTTTAGTTAATTTTAATTGATAACATTTTTTTCACTTTCATTTCTATTTTGAGTTAAATTGAGGGAAATAGAATTATAATTATAGTCCTATTCCGAGGAATTAACTTTAGGAATGGAAATGTTTTGATCTTATGACGTATTTATGTTATATCTTTTATTTGAAAGAGAAAAGCAATGCTATTATGTTATTATTATTATTATTATGTTATGCTATTATCCTATCTATTTCTGATGCGTGGTATATCAGTAATTGATAAATACTTAATGAGGGAACACAGAAAGAATTTGATGTTAATTTGTTAGTTTCAAATTAAATTTTACAACATATCTAGTACAATTTAATGTTTATTAAAATAAAATTCAAATATAGATAGTTTAATACTTAACTTTACTAATGGTAAAGTGGCTGATAAAAATATACCGAGTTACAAATGAAATGAGATTGCTTGAGCACTCTATTTGATACGAGCTCAAACACTTTTATTATACTTAAAGAGATGTTATAAAAATATAAGTAGTTAAATATGGTAAGACTCTTTAATACTACAGAATAAATGTAAGATGACACACATTTGGATATGTGTGTATTTATGTTTATCAGCGTTCCCTTATTGGATTTACAATCTATTATAGTTTATTATTTGCAACCTATACATTTATTAAAGAAGCTGGCGACAAATTGATAAAAATTGTTTTATAAGCAGACCACATTATAATATTATTTTAGTACCTATTATTATTATCTAAGAGCTTGAGAAAGGCATATTTTTGATTCTGAGCGAAGCGATGAATATATTGATTTTATAATGGTGTGTTTTTTGTAGGTATATATATTTTTTTTTAAATATTTTTTTGTGTCTGTCAACACGGTTTGGGACAGTAAAAGCACTTCGATTTAATTCAATAGCAATTTGTCTGGTGAAAGTGAATCTGGTTGGTGTATTCGAGTGGTCAACATTTAAATTTCCAACAGTTTTCTAAAGCAACAGGAAAAACAAATAAAAAATTAAGAAAAAACAGGAGTTATAACGCAAAACCAGTTTAAAAAAAATTGATTTTGGTTTTTAGTTTAAATTTAAAGACCGTAGTTACATGAAATTTTTACTGATTGTTTGTGATAGCATTTTCTATACTCCATAACATGTTTAACATATTTTGACTCATGTTGAACTATTTATAGGCATATAAAATCTTCTATTTTTTTTTTTTTTTTTATTAATGTCTGTTAACAAACTTGAAAATA